TGGCTGACGGGGCATTCTTGCGACGAGAAACTTCGTCGCTCGTGGGAGGCGCCTCTGACGACCCCCTACCCCAGCCCCCTTCAGATGGTTTGGCTACACACCCGAGGGTGAACTCGCCCAGGCTGTCATCCCTCCAAATAGCCGTCCAGGCGGACCTCAGGCTAGATGGAGAGAACTGTTGTGACATCAGATTCCGAGAGAGGTTTCTGTGCCCAGAAGTTTTGACTGTAGAAGATTGATAAACCAAACCAGGGGGGGGTCTAGTTTCCATAGGTCACACATACTTGCAAACCTGCGTGCATTGGGGCCAGTTAGACCAGTTCTGATGGTGAACTAAAAGAGCGAAATTTTTATTTTTAGTGGGCAATTGAGAATATAGTCTTGTGGGCTAACGGTTGCAAGATTTTCCAGTTTTATAAGTATGACCAATTACAAAACTTAGCACTGCTTGTTTGCCTATTTCAACGCCATGACTGGTAGCTCGCCCTTGAAGTGGGTCACCTCCACCTCAAGAAGTTGAAGTGACTCAGACGTGAATTTTATCACGGCACGGGAGACTTGCGACGAGTCTACCTCACTCGTTCTTCACCCATCTACATAATGATGATCGAAAGACTAGGGTGGGATAGCTGGTGAGGGGCTTGGATTGGTGGATGACCTGGTGTGAAGTCCGCGCCCATGCGTGTTAGCACACCTCTGCTGACCGGACCTAGTTTATGAAAATCAACCTGAAGTTACAACACTGATTTGAACCCTGTACTCTACCTGCTGGTGGCCTACGGGGTGTGTCTCACGAACCAGTGACAAGATTTCCGCGCAAGAAAACTGCCTCGACGGTTCCCAAAGGTACGGCTGCCTTATTGTTTAACCAAAAAGTAGACAAAATGACGTCACCTCTGCGCCGTATAGGTTTTACGTGAGCCCAACGGGCGTGTTGGGATCGACGGGAGCCGCCACGCCCTAAAACTGCGCCAGCGTTTAGCAAAGGCCTCCTATGTCACCACGACGAGGGCGGCGGTATGCGGAACTTAGCGTCTCTACCACCGCCGAGGCGCTTGCGTGAGTCGGACAGGCCCAGGGGTGGGGCGGGGGTATGGCTGTCGCCCAATCAGGCCTGCAGTTGCCAGCAGCGTGCATGTCGCTTTGTTATCCACGGCTGATTGGTGCTTCGCGCACGAGTCGCCTAACCCGCACGCGCAAGAATGAGTCACTGCGACAGGATTGGCTGCCAAACTGGCCGAGGTTTGCTCTGCGATGTTTTCGTACTAGTCGCCTTCCGTCACCGTGCCACGCGGTAAGTGTGCGCCTCCTCATTGTTTTAATTTCGGAATGTTTCCCATAGAGCGTTTTCTAGGCCATTTCACCACCTTGCAATGGCCACGCGTGAGGAATGTCTGGCATAAGGGGCAGCAGACTGCGAATTTGAATTTTGCACTACCGCCTACTAGACCGTAGTGTAGCAAAGTTAGCCGTAGACCATTTTTTCCGAATCATTCGTTCGGACCTTTTATTTAATTTGAATCCAGGGTGTCAAAAAGAGATTAGCGAGTGGGCGAATGTAGTTGCACTTTCTGTAAAGGGTCAGTGGGCATGCCCTTGCCTTGTTAAACTCCACATCGAACTCACGTACAGAAGTCACTGTCTCGACCAGCTGAGGACGGCCTTTGCGCTTCATGAGTCGTCGCAATCAGTCGAAGGCCCCGCGCTCGATTCTATTTGTTCTTCTTCTGAGCACGAACCACGAATTGTGACCCATTTATTAGGGCGTCTTCAGCCAGGAAATACTTACCGGACAGGGCGAAGTCGGTTACTGGGCACCACTGTTGCAACGTCGTTAGCGGATGGTTGCAGGTGTTGTAGTTAGCTTGCTACGCTAATATTTTCTACCCTGTCTGAAATTAGTCTTGCCCGTTGGCTGGGAGTCGGTGGACTGCAGTTCTGGGTTCGAAGCACATGCTCCGTCGACCAGGAAAAAGGGACGTCGAATACCGTGTCTGCAGGTCCACAGGGTTCATTGCCTGATTAACCGTGCCGGAAAATATTGTCATAAGTCAGACTGCAAATCAAGCCTCACGGACATACCCTTCGTGAGGCGGTTTGTGTCAGTTTTCGTTGGTGGCGTTGATCGTTCGTCCTCTTTGAAGAGCCTGATATCAGAACGCCCATTTTGACGACTCACACATGCGCTAATCGCAAGGCGATGTGGAAATGCATCATACCACCAAGCGGAGTACAGCGAGTTTGCTTTAGTGCACTCCAGATGTTGCACTTTCCCTGTCCATTTCTACAACTGGCCCAGCCGAGCACCCGTCACCTGATATTACGCTATCGCATCCAACAGCGGCATGCATAATAGTACCTAGGTAGAACAGTTCTCCATTATCGCAGGGGCGAGATTGCCTTATGTACGGTCTTGCCCCATGCCCCTAGCAACTCATACCTTATATTCGTTTAGGCCTGGGCAAGAACCACCCCTGCCCGGCCGATTCCTCTTTTTGAGCCCTGTGTAATTATAAAGTGGGGCACTAGTGACTCATTGTTTTTGGTTTTGCCGACCATAGAATCCACAGCTTTGCAAATCAGTATGATCCTCTCCCGGTAACCGAAAGCCAGGTCGACCAGAATTTGATCTTCGCCGTCCACATTGGCTCACGTTCTAAATTATTCATCAGGGTGCCTACGTCAAATAATGCAGGGTTTGACAAAATGACAAGTCAGGTCGCTTGTCGTCCAGCTGGTCGACTGCGCGCGCTCAACTCATCGACGGCATTACTAGCAAGAAACGAAATTTCAACCTTGAAATCTTCCGTCATCAGCCGAAGTCACAACTATCTGAGCGCACTAATTGTCAGAAAATCGCACTCTACAGTTCTGAGATCTTTTCCCATCCGAGTCCCGTATCGAGACTGACGGGAAGCTAACGTTATTGGAAGTCAGTGTTGACAAAGTACTCCATCCTACGCCCGGACCATTTTTCGCATAAACTTACAAGAGATCTTGATTAGGTTAGAAGCTTTCGGGTGACGTACCAGTAGTGTCCGGGAATTTACGAACGATGCTACAGCAAATTCAGGGGAGGTGACTTTGTTTCCTGTTACAACCACTGTCTTCTGGGGCTTATCACAGTGCAAAACCTCGACACAGTCCCTGTCGTGGCGAAGTCGACTCATGTTCGCCTTGTTCGTGCGCCCATTTAGGCTTGAATTACACAGGCTAGTGTTCGAAAGGATCCTCGCTGAGATCTCGGGCGGCCTTGTGTAGTCCGAGCTCGTTTCCTGCTTTGGAGGAACGTAGGACATTGCTTCAGACGCGATATGCCACAACCACTTCGAAGTAGCAGCCAAGCCGCTCTTGTCTATTTTACTTGACAGGTTGTCTTTGTCCATGGCTTTTTTGCTTGTGGAGCTCTAGATTCCGGCCGAATCCCCATATCGGGGAGGGGGGGGGGAGGAGATCGACGCACAATTCTCGCCAGTTGTGGACTGAGCGACCAGCGAATTAACTAAGATAAATGCACTCTGTGGCCTTCTGACTATTCTCACGGAATTTTCCCTCGAAAGCAAGAGTTCGACCCAATTCAGGGGTTATCTCCTGTCAGTAGTGGCTGCGCTTGATCCTCACTGACCGCCTTCTCTAATCGCCGCGTCTTACCCGCAAGCGGCGTTAAGACGTCAGCCGGCTGATTACTTTGGGTGCAGAGATCCAGGTGTGTACTGTCCTGTTCTCCAGCACCATACATTTTCAGGACGCCTGAAGGCTTACAGACAACCATCTTCTGCTATTTACGTTTGATCAACGCGTACTAATAAGTATCTTTGCACCAACGCGCTTGCTGTTTGTGTGTGGCGCTCGTATTTCATCTGCAACCTTCAGAGGGAATAGAGTCTCCAAAAAAGCGTAACAGTTGTTACGGTCGGTGTCCACTGTCACAGCCTTTGCAGTCGGCGCAGCGCACCAACTTGCTAGCCCGCGCCAACTATGGGTGTCTGGAGGCTGTTTACCTCGGAGACGTTCGTACTCATGCCAACTCTTGGTAAAGAAAGTCGCGTGGTCAGGCCTCGACGTGACCACAAATATCAGGAAATCCTTCAAATCTGCGAGGCTGAGGGAAGTGGGAAGGGGGGGGGGAGGTGGTGTACGACGCTTTCAAACCTGACGTCGTTCTGGATTCGGTATACTCCTAGCTGCTGCAGAACACGATGCCAACTTGCCACGTATATTATGGTGGTACCAGAGAGAAAGGTCATACCCTAAGGGTTCGGTTGCAGTCGAGCACAGTCAGCTTCTACAGTACGCACCATTTCACATGTTCTGCCCACCGCATCTGTGTGATCTTTTGGGGCTTACTGCCTAAAGTAGCGTTTTAAGTCGATCTTTGCTACTGGCATATCGTCTTCACTCACGCATTCTGTAAATGGAAGCTAAGCGTTTCTCTACGTACCATTTTCGGGCAATATCGACGATGTTAAAACTTGGTAGGTTTTCCAGGGGGTTGCGTCACCTTGGTTCGTGCATCTGAAGCCCTCGGTGTCGGTCGCATAGGTTTTATTGTTTTTTTCTGCCACTGTTCCTTCCATTAGACAAATGCAATCTGTTCCGCACAGTTGTAAACTGTTAGTACCCCATATCCCCAAACAGTTATTATACTCAGGCCCCGTTGTGGTTCGTTCGTTAGTTGTTCTTCCTTCTCCATCAGGTGAGCGGGCATGTGGTTCAAATCGAGGAAACGTGCGGCCGTGGCTCAACCAGTTGGCCGCCTCGAGAAGCCAAAATACACCAAGGTCAAGAAGTCGGGTGCCGCCCGGATTTTGTGGTCCTCCCTCTACTGTTCCTTCGGAAAGGGTGATCTCAAAACCGCCTCTAGGGATGGCTCGTTTTACTCCCGACCCTCCTCAAAATTGGTAGTGGTAAGCAAGTCGCCTGTCAAGACCGAGGCCCACCGGTTCTCATCCGGTTGCGTCGATCGTCTACTTCCAGCCATTCCACAGCTGCCTCCGAAGATGTGCTTTCCCCTGAATGGGACGTCTCCCCTTCCTGAGGTATGCATCATGCCGAGGGCCTCCAAAAGACCGGCACCAGGAGACTTGTATCCAGAATTTTTGGATCTGATGGAGCCCAGGAATAAGCTTGCTCGTCTGAGTTGCCGCTACGACCAATTCAATCCAATCTACGACGAAGTCTACAGCGGATCCGACGGAGAACTGCTGGAGGAGGAAGAAGAAAATGTCTACGATGAGATCGCGCCCGATTCCCTCTTCGGTGCTGCTGCCTTCTGCCGGCCTCGGAACCGCCTCGTCGCTACTCGTCGTCTACGCAACCGCCTCTCACCACGCACACGCGCCAAGACAGTCTTCCAGCCCCGGCACCCACCGTCGTGCCTAGATCTGATGCAGGTCTCCCGCTTCAGCTGTTCCTTCTCCGACTCTGCAGAGGACTCCGAATCGGAAAATATCTACGCCCTGCATGGTGACGAGTTTCTGACAGAATTTTGCGATGAAGACACCCGGCCCTCGAGCATATACGACGAAGTCGCTTCAGACTACGACGATGACGACGAGGTTGACTCGGTCAGTGACCTCGATGAAGGTTTAGAGCTTACTACATGCTTTGAGGCAGCCCAACATCCAGGAGGCACAGCGGCCCTTGGGCGCTGTACTTTCCCCAACACCGTCCGTCCGGTCGTTTTTCCGCCGTCTGCAACCGCCAACCACTGTGTCAAGTGGATGCGCAGGGAATCCTTCATTGTCTAGGGGGAGGGACCAGTTACATACACCTATGCATATACATGTGTCTATCCATTTTTACTATCATTGTGTGGCTTGAGGGTTCAATGTTTCGCACTTTTCGGTTCTGGCCTCTTCACACAAAACACTGTTTTAACGTAATCGCTGGATGCTAAACGCGCGCGAGCGCGCATGGCAGCGGCTCATCGATTTCGGTAAACATCATTTTTACATTAGTACTTTTGATTACTGTCTGCGGGCCCATTTATACACTTTTTCTATAAACCACCCAATAATCGCGTATGCATTTAGCTAATAAATCACATTTTGTACGAGCCTTGTGTTTATGTTTGTCCGCACCCCCCAGAGGGTTGTTGCGTCGCCACTGCATGTGGCCAGCGCCGATGCCACGCCGACTCGCGGCGCGTGTTAGGCCGGACCTTGTTGAGTTTGTCTCATCTCTTAGCTACCATCGTATACGCGTGCCCCAGGCGTTAGACGAAACCTTTAAGCCACGTCGACCACTAAGCCGTCACGCCAGCAGTCGGACAGGCTCCTGATGCAGGTTAGGGGGGAGAGCAAGACCGATACTCAGGTACTCTTCCTAGACCCCCACAACGGGCTGCCCCGCATGTGCGCTGGATCGAATACTGGTCAGACTAGTTAACGGCATCACGTTATTGGATTGCGAAAATTCTTCGCGATTCTAACTACTGCCGTACAGGGGGAGGGATTGGTGACACGCCTTGGCGTCAGCCACGGCGCTCAATCCAGTCGCCGGCTGTTTTACAGATGCGGGCACTCGACTGGAGCCACGGGAGAAGGAAGCAAGAGTGAGGCCGACACCAGGGAATCCATCTCCACGCCACGGTAGCGCACTCCCCACTATAATTGCATCTGACGCGCCTGGTTACCATCACAACATTCTATTAGGAGTCGTGACTCGGGGGGGGGAGGGGGTGCAAAATTACCTGGTTCTTCTCGGGACTGGGAGTCAGGCCACAATGTCCGTTCGGTGTGGCACTCGCGCGTGTGAGATACCAGTCGCCCATATAGAAGCTCCGTGCAAATGAAGGGGGGGCGCAGCCCGTGTGTGGAACGCGTAGACGGACTGTCTAGCTTTGTCAGTCACTGCGCTCACACCCACTTCCGGTCGTATCGACACTGTCATGTCATCGAAGCGAGGTGGGTGGAGGGAGTGCGGCAGATGATGCCCACACCCGCCTCACCATAAACTGAATCACCTGCTGATCGCCGACCTGCGCCCGCCATTCTGTGGGGCAAATGGCGGACATCGACGGTAATGACGGTCGAACTGTCGCCGGCACGCTTCTTGATAGTTCAGCGCATTTGCGCTGTGAAGTCTGACGCGCCAGAAACCATCAACACGTTAATAATTATGGTTCGACAGGTTGCCGGGTGAGCGGATGATCCTGTTCTTTAGAGCGATGGTCAGACTGCGACGATCCCTTCGTGGCGACCCCGTGGAAGATCCAAGATCCTTCTCTGGAGCCTTATTTAGGGACCAGCTCATATATGGATGACCAGCTACTGTGCTCATGCCTACCTCTGGTTAAAAGGGGGTTGGCGTGGGAGCTCTAGCGCGTCTGATCACAGGTAAACATAGGCTTGAGACACTGAAGATAGTGACGAATCTCGTCTACTGCGTTTGCGTTTTCTGTGGAGTAACTAATATCAGGGATGTTGTTTCATTCGACCTCGGCTGGGTAGAGCTACCCGAACTTGCTTGGCTACTACGACCTGAAACATCTTCGCTATGTCGCCGATGCGGGCTCTCTGATATGGAATCCGTGTTTTCAAGCGGTAGGGTGGTTGCTAAGCATCAATTGCCGAAAAGCCCGTTTTCTAGTCATTTTCGCACAGGCCTTTGGGAACAATCGTAGATATTGTAATGGTTTCATCGGCACCCTCGACGGCTTGCTGAAACTGCTATCAGTGTTAGTATGGCTGAATATGCCCCTCCCCCCCCCCCTCCACTGTCCGTCGAGGAGCATCGTGGCCCTGAGCCTTCTGGCTGGCATTCGTTAATTACGAAAAACTACTTTCCGTCTGCTGTGTAGTTCGAACTTGCCCAGGTCTCTTTTGGACGTCCGTGGATAAATTGACCGACTTGACCGACATCTCATCCGCCCAGGGCCGCGTCCTGTGGACCGTCATAGCAGGCTAGTCTAGGTCGCTCAACTGGCATCTTGGTACAGGCTTGGCATAATCAAGACCGTGTGCGATGCCCTCGAGAACCCGACCGACGTCCTAGTCAAATGGTATTGGCAGTAGGATGCAGCCCCACCGAGGGACAAATAGTCAAATAGCGATGGGCAACTGCAGGTACTGCTGGCTCTGTTATCCGCCGCATGCACCCCTGATGAACGGATTCGTGTGCCAGCGCGCAGTTGGAAGGCGAACGCTCGTCGGCCCCCTGTCAGCTCGAAACGAGTGCCTTCACGGCCAGTTCGGAACCCTACCTGGTTGGGTTTCACGCTTGCTTCGCGCACCTTTGGACATTAATGCTGGGGTCAAGCTGCCTGATGACTGCCAACAGGCCTCTGTAGGCAGTACGCCACGGCTCTTAAACTGTCTGAGGAGTATGGGACGGTAGGATGCACGACGGCCGCCCCGTAATGCGCCAGGACTGCGGAGTGGCGGCCGTGAACCGACGTCATGTGTTTTCGGTTTCTGCTGCCCGACTGCGTTCCACTGAGCCAAGGCGATGGTGGATAGGACCTTAAACAACCAATCCGCGGGGTTTTTGAGGACTTGTCCGGACCGAGACATCTCGCATAGTCTGTCTGGTGTTGGACGTCGAGGGAGTCTTCCAGGTGCAGGCTGCGACTCAGTTGCCCTCGGACAATAATCTGACTGGGCCGCCGAGTTTTACTCGATTAGGTTCGAGTAGATTATTAAATCTTCTAAAACCGACTGATTAAGTGGGTCCGGTGGTCATCTGTTGGATTCTGGATTGATTTCTCAGGAAATCCCGCTTGGACAGTAAGCTTACTGTATCCCAGTTGATGGATTCCATAAGTTCAGTAGTCTGGGCGGATAACTTGACTCAAATGTGTTTAGACTCACGACTCCGGGTGAGACCTCGTAGCTCAGGTGGCTAGAGCATTGGCTGTACTGAAGCCTCCTCCTTACTGTCCTAGGTTTGAGCTCCACCGATATCGCCGAGTTTTTCACAATTGGGTGAGATGAATTCCGTCTTCTAACAAGGAGTAACGAAGCTTGGAGAAAGTCGATTTCGGACACGTGTCCGCCAAGAACCATTGAGAGCACTGGGTTCAAACCTACTTTGAGATCTTTCCTTCCCCTGTTAGGGGGTGGCCAGTGGCGCACTAAGAGTCATATATATTTCTCGGGTTCGGTGCATTTTTCCAACCTGCGCCTGTTGGAAGTCTATAACGTTTTTAGGGAGTCTTCCGTGTTGCTTCACCAAGAAACGGACTCTGGTCATGTCGCATTGCCATGATGGGGAGGCGATTGCGGGCCGCTACTCGGCCGAGTTGCCTGTTCCCTAACCCTTCAATTCTGTGGAGTTCTCACGAACTTCCATCACATCAACTTTTCTCGTATTCCTCAGCGACTTGGATTACGCATGCCCCGAAGTACCCTACCTAGTTCAGCTTCGCCTCTCTCGAATCGGAGTGTGGGACGTTTAGTACTCGCTCTTCATCTATCTAATCTGTGTTCTGCTCTACCTCGACTTCTAGTCATATTTTGCTCGCGACCTGTCGAGGAGGAGACAACGTTCGGTTAGGATATGTCATCCAGACCAGCGAGATCCCGTGAGAATAAACGAAGTATGCCATCGTCGAATACGAAACTCAGCCGGACAACGGGGCACTGTGCATTCAAAGCAACGAGTGGGAATCGGCCAACACACCTTTTCGATCATTCCTCAACAGGCCCGTACATTGAACGTTGAAAAACAACCAATGAACAATAGCGACAGTTTGGAGTGTTGGGAATGTCTAGACATGTTCGAAAAAAGAGATACTTATGGTTTAGTCCTGCCGGGAAGGCGAGGGGAGTAGGGAGTTAAATGATACGAGTCGGCTGTGGATGAGGTTGTAAGTGCGTGCAGGGGTTTCTTTATCACCAATTTGTCCTTCGGAACCTATTCAAAAACAGAGTGCAGAAAATGTTATAAGCCCGGAATTCGTTTGCCTAGCCTTTCAATAAGCAATACGTACTGACAAAGTGCAGTTTCTCAGCTTATGACTAGAGTTATGTAGAACGGCGTGGTAAATTTTGTCACCCTATCTACCAGTGCACATCTGTCGAGCCTAGGACGAACAAAGGGCGAAAAATATGCACAAAGTTGTCTATTTCCTGTGGGCAGTGATAATCTGAGCCTTAAAGGCCTCCGGTGTCCTGAATCGCCATGGGGAATTCGAAGGAGAAGCAGAGTTCCCTCTGAGGTGGGTATGTTAGGGAATGCTTTACGTTTCAAAGGGAAACTCCGGCTCCCTCCTCAGACTGGTCGATCCAGCGTCTCCTGTTGGGCTGCGCCACTGCCTGTCCAGCATATCGCAAGTGTCGGCTGTAGGTTGACCGTCGCGTGTCTACGGGTTCTGCTCGTCCCTCCGAGCCCTCGCTGCATCGATAGGCCGCAGGCAGGTCAACAAGACGATGAGCTGAACAGTCATCCCGCAGCCGTGCCCCTTGTAGCTATCTTGCCGTATGATTATCCCATCGGTCCACACCAGCTTGGGTTGCACGGGATGCCGCCGGGGCAGGCAGGTCCGACCCCGTCACCGCCAGTCGGTGTTCTTGCATCCCTGTTCGCTTCCTCCAACGCATTCTACTGGATTACAGGGTTATAGCGGTGCGACGCTGACTGCTACCCGCCATAATACCGCCCTTTTAAATAATTCGGAGAACAAAGTTGTAGGACGGCATTTACTGAATTGGAACGCACGGGCCGTAGTGTACGAGCTACGTAGGCTAGACGCTCGTGTATGATAATGAGCCCCATCCAGTGAGCTCTCCTCTGCAGTTCCCAGTAT